GCAGCGATTCCAGGCTCCAGGGAGGATACGGAGCCCAGGTGGGGACCAGAAGGGGCAGTAAAACCACATTAAACCACATTTTCGGCTCTTGTTTTTCCATCTCTTTCATTGGTTTTTTTATTCATGTCTTCGGTTTTGTTCCCCATTCCCGTTTTCCCAGCAATCCAACCACCTGTCCCAAACTCGGGTGTTCAGTTGGGATATTCAGTTCTTGTTCCTGAGCTTTAAACCCGGAGCTGAGCCTTGCAGAGCCCAGCATCAAATGTGCCAGAGTTACAGTTGAACACATTTCCCCCCATTTCCATGAGATTTAAAGGATTGTTAATGAAATGGGAACAAAATTGGTAAGGATTAAATAAGAAATGGTAATAAAATGGTAACAATTAAATTAAAAATTGTGATAAAATGGTAAGGATTAAATAAAAATTGGTAATGAAATGGTAACAAAAATGGTAAGGATTAAATAAAAATGGTAAAAAAATGGTATGGATTAAATAAAAATTGGTAATATAATGGTAATGATTAAATAAAAAGTGTTAATAAAATGGTATGGATTAAATAAAAAATGGTAATAAAATGGTGATAAAATGGTAAGGATTAAATAAAACAAGTTAAAATGGTACAAAAACTGGTCCTGACTGAATAAGGGTAACTAAGGAATTGTCCAGGGGAGGCAGAGCTCTGAGCCAGGAGATGGGACCCTGAGCCGGGACAGCCCCTCCTGGCCTGGATTAAGGTCATGGATCAGCCCCATCCCCTGATGTTCCCCCTTCCCCTTGGCTCCCACATTCCCTGGGAAGGGTAGGACTTCACTCACCACTGGAGAATTCCGGAAGCCCTTGATGGCCTGGAAGATCCCCCCTCCGATGGCCCCCATGGTGAAGGCCCCTCCGCAGTCATCCACGATCCTCCAGGGACTGTGGGAACAACGGGGTGGGAATGGGGAATGTCAGTCTGGGAATGGGGAATGCCAGCCTGGGAAAGGACTGGGACAGGGCAGCGCCCAGGCCCTGCCGGGACTGGGGTGGAGATCCGCCCCAATTCCAACAGAACCTAGGGCATACTGCAGCAAACACTGCCCCACATCCAACAAAACCCAGGGAATACTGCAGCAAACCAACCCAACTTTGCCATTTCATCCCCCCTTCCAACGTCCCTGGAGCAGGAAGGATCCAATATCCAGAATTTCCCACACTCCTGAACTTTTCCCCACTACCCACACAAGACAGAGACATGTTTCCATCATAGAAAAGTGCAGAATTCCAGCTCTGCCCTACGTCCATCACATTCCCTGATCCCACTCTTGTCCTGTTCTATGGAAAACTGAAGGGTCAAATTCCCTGAGATTCCAACGTCCTTGAAGAAGGACGTGTGAACCCCTCACACTTCTCATCAGCTCTGCTTATTTAACTGAGACTCCCAAGCCAGCTTTGTTAGGCTGGGACGGTTTTTCCTGGTGCATCCTGGATCCCTGAAGTCCATTCCCACCAAACACAGCTCCCAGAGGAGCAGCAGCCACAACTCCTGCTCCAGAATCCTGCGCAGGAGCCCCTTCCTGCTGGGAACACCATCAGCCCTGGCAGGTGAGTCTCAGTTTGGTGCTCAGAACCTCTGCCCAGCACTGGAGCCTTGTGACACTAAACCCAGCTCCTACACTAGGCCAGGCCTAAGCTGCCAATAACCCCTGTTGTCCCTGGGGGATCCCAGAGCACAAAATAACAAACTCCTTGGGGTTTTTTTCATCCTGCAGCCAAATGTTCCAGCCCAGCACGGGGGGGTTTAACTCCTGCACTGCCAAGAGTCAGGAAATGCAGGAAAACTCAGCTCCAACACCAGTCAGGGTCCCAAAGGTGACCCCCACGGCAGGATCAGGGATTTCTGGTTTCTCTGGGAATGGGGGTGTCCCTGAGGATCCCCACAGCTCCTGCCCGTGGGGACACGGACCCCAACCCTCCTCCAGAGCACCCAGCGAGGAGGGGGTGAAGATGAGGAGGGGGCTGAGGATGGGGGGGAACTGAGGATGATGATGGGAGTCCCTGGATGAGGGAAGGCTGTAGATGAGGAGGGGCTGAGGCCGAGGAAGGGCTGAGCAGTGACAAACCTCTCCTCTGTCCCAGCCCCCCGTCCTGCAGACTTTGTCCCAGGGTGTTTTTTCCCTGCACACACACTCTGATTTGCAGTCCCTCCTCCTGCCCATGACCTACTTTGGGATCTCTCCCTCCCTGCACCCCTGACCCAGGGCACTCCTGTGGGCACAGGGGACACTTGGCTTGGGCACCCTGGCTTGTCCCCAGTACCACCCCCATCCAGATCCCATCCCCACCCCATGGATTTTATCCTTCCTCCCGTTCTGTTTCTGTGCCCTGCTCTCATCCCATCTCACCTCCTCACGACCCCCTCCACCCCGACCGAATTCAATAATTCAGTTTATTTTCCTTCCTCTCCTTCCTGCTCTTAATGCCCAGGAAAAGGTTCCAGGCACACTGCTGTCAGAGATGCCAAGATGAAAAGCAACTCAAGTGTTCCTTCCCAGGGATTTTCTGCTGTTTTGTTCTCAGGTCTCCCAGTGCAGGTTTTGATCTCCTCTGTTATGAATAAAACATCTCACCCCAACTCTCCCCCTTCCTTAACTCAGTGATCTCCTTAAAAGGCCTTTTGGAAATCTAAATGGATTATGTGGAATGGGCTTCTCTTACCCGCAAAGTCATGGCATTCCAATTAACCAAATCACTCATTAACGAGCCTCATTAACGAGCCCCCAATCATGGAAGGCTCCCCTCCACTCCTCCCCTCTTTAACCTCATCAGCTGTTGCCTTTTGGGTTCTTCATTTTCATCTTAAACTCCTCCCCAAGCCTGAGCAGCTTTTAAAGGAGAGAGCCCCTCTTTGATGCCAGCATAGCCCCCTCCCTCAGGGCTGACCCACAGCCCTGCCAAGCCCAAGCACTGCCTGACCTGCTGAAGGAGCAGAGGAGAGGAGAAGAGATTATTCCATTATTAATTTACCACTTCTCTCCAAGCCTAATGTTACAGGGAATTGTTCCCCTGACTCTGCAGGGAAGGGATGTGGGGGATGAGGTCGGGTTCCTGCTCCTCACGGCACCAGGGATTGCTCAGAGACAGCAGGGCAGAGGCCAGGACTCCATTTATCCCTCCAAGCCCCAGGGAATCCTGCAGCTCTCCAAAGAGCTGGAAAACTACTGGGATCGGAGTCTAGATAAACAAAGGGGACTTTTCTCCCCAGGGAAGCAGCCTGAGCCCAGGCAGAGCAGCTGCTGGAGTTGGATAAAGGGACAGGACACAGGGGACCTCGACAGCCCCACACAGCAGTAGGGTAAGGGAGAAGCCTCAGCCCATGCCAGGGGAAGCTCAGGATGGACATCAGGAGGAATTTCCTCATGGAAAAGGTGGTCAGGCACTGGAATGGGCTGCCCAGGGAAGTTTGGAGTCCCCCTCCCTGGAGGTGTCCAAGGATGTGGCACTCAGTGCTCTGGGCTGGGATCGGGCGCAGCTCGGACTCGATGGGCTGGGAGGGCTTTTCCAACCTCGGGATTCTGGGATTAGCTGGAGCCCACGGCAAACTATCAATAAACACAATTTATTTTGCTCGTGTCCCAGAATTTGTGCTGTGGAAAGGCCGGGCCTGACTCTCATGGAGAAAGTTAACACGTGGTAACAGAGTGACTGGTAAAGTTTGGGAAAAGCCTCAAGAACAGCCCCAGGTCTCTGTTTGCAGAGCTGAGCGCAACCATGGAATTCCAGGATGGTTTGGGTGGGAAGGGACCTTAAATCCCATCCCATGGGCAGGGACATCTCCCACCATCACAGGCTGCTCCGACCTGGCCTTGGACACTTCCAGGCATGGGACAGCCACAGCTTCCCTGGAAATTCCATCCCAGCCCCTCCCAGGGAAGGATTCCTTCCCAATATCCCATCTAACCCTCCTTCTGGCAGTGGGAAGCCATTCCTCTTGTCCTGTCCCTCCACCCCTTGTCCCAGGTCCCTTCCCATGCTGATAAAGCTGCTCAGGACTCTGTAACCCTGAGCCCGAGTTTGCATTTAAACCTTTTATTGCTGCAAATAAAACCTCTGAGCTGCCACTGACGTGGCTGTGGAAGTCCACAGGGACAGCACCG